ACGTATAATTTCAAGAGCATATTTCACGACGGCTCGTGACCGTTTTAAAAGCCGATTTACCCTCGTTGAGCCATAATGTTGCCTTGGTAATTCTCCTCTGATGGGTGGGAAACGTTTTCATCATTTAGGGCCATTAATAAAATCCCTAATCTATCCTTTCATCCCTCACGATCCGAAGCTGAATATTTTCAAAAAGAGCCCGAAGAAGGAACACAAAATATGTAAAAATTTTGGTAGAAACTTTGCCAATATCTCTGGATCAGGCCAATCTCGCTATTTCTACACGCTAAGAACTAGTTTTTTTATTTTTTGTTTTTTTATTAGCCCTAATGAACCAGTGAAGTCGAAACAAGTTTGACCGAGCGAACCCGACTCGAATGTGGACAAATCATCGATCAAAAACGGTTTTAAATGTGTATCAACCTAGTTATCTTTCGACAAGAAGCCGGAATTTAAAAGAAATCGTTACAGCTTACAAGACTGGTGTAATTGTAACTGTAACCTCAATTATAATTTACCCTGGCTTCTTTCTACGTAGAAACCACTTAAAAAATAATCATCTTCTATAATAAACGTCGTACGATTTATTTTAAAGCCAATTCTTCGAGCGTTCGACTATCTTGATCAGTAACTTTTAAAGCCTTCAGAATGCCATTTCAGATGTAAAATAAAAGTCATAGCTTAATGGGTTCAACTTAAAATTAATTTAAGAGCATAAATCTTCTTTCAACGTTTTTCAGGTTAAATGAGCAAGATTATGATTTGTCTGAGTTGTAGGGAAACATTAATTTTTTTAATAAACCAAGCATAAAATCTTCCAGGGTTGTTTTTTTTAATACTGTATATATATANTATATATAAATATGTTGAAACGTGTCGATTCTCTCTTAAGCGACCGTCGTAAATCCGGTCGTACACGCTGGTCGTGATGGTTCGGTCGTGATCATGCCGTGTTCCAGTCCGTCGCCTATTGGAAAATGACGGCCGGTGTGAACCGTACGGTTCCACGGTCAGGACTTGATCATTTCGACGGAAAAAGGCCCAAGTCTGCAGTTCGTAGGGTGGGAGCAGTTTAAAAGGCAAATGACTGTCATTGAACAAACAACCCCCATCAGGTGCAATCCCGAAATGACTTGAGACCACGAGAACAATCGTTTCAATATCAACATTTAACAACCATATTCACAGGTGAAATATGGACTTAAAACTTTGTCAAATGACTAGCGAGTCGTCCATCAAAACGGCCTAATCTTTTCAACAATGACTTCCAGACAAAAGAAAAATCGTATCTATTTCAATATTTAACGTTTTAACAGCATAATAAAACGCTGGCAAAATGGCCTACTTGTTCAAGAAAATAGAACATTTTCCAAACATCAGTTTCTAGAGAATAATAGGATCAACATGAACATTTACAAATATTCAAGTTTTTATTGCTGAAATATTTCTTAAAATGACTAACAAGTTAAAGAAAAAATGTTCAAATGAATCTTTGTTTCTGATGTTTGAACCATTAATGGCAATTCCGAAATGACTTTATATCGCGAATCCGATCAATCTAAATAACTGCCAAATTAAATAAAATTCCTCATACAAATGGCGTATTCGTTTAAAAGAGGCATTGGTCGAATGCAATGACCAAAATGGTTGCTTAAATATCTACGAAATCTTTCGTCGAAATGACCTATGTACTTGTTCCATGGAGATCCTTCCAGTCCAGCGATTGCTATATTCTAAATGGCATCTGATCGAGAGATTATTAGGGTCAATAACAACATTTACAAATATTCAAATTTTCTCTGCCGAAATATTTCTTAAATGGCCGACAAGTGGAAAAAAAAGTTTCAAATAACTCATTTGTTCCTGGTGTGTGAACCGTCAAAATAATTTCACAATGACTTTATATCGAGAATAGGATAAATCTAAATGACTGACAAATGAAATAAAATACCTTTATTGAAACGACTTATTCTTCAACTTTCACAATCTTAAATTCGAATTATTCTTTCAAAAGAGTTATTGATCAACTGAAATGACTAAAATGGTTGCTTAAATGACTACTCCCTTTAAAATGAGAGAGTAGCCATCAACAGCAATTCAAAATGACTTAAGATCAAGAGATTAAACTGATCTCTAAATCTGAATGACTGCCAATTAAAATAAAATCCCTTTATTTAAACGACTTATTCTTTCAAAAGAGTTATTGATTGTAACTGCAATGACTAAAACGATTACTTAAATGACTACTAAACCTCCCATTAAAATGACCTGATTCTTCGAGAGAGTGGCCACCAACTCCAATTCAAAATGTCTTAAGATCAAGAGAATAAACTAATCGATATTTAATAATGAACTAATCAATATTTAAAGCTCTGCTCGTTTTTACAGATGAAATGGTTCCTTAAATGACTTCCAAATAAAGTACAATCCTTCATATAAATGGTTTATTCTTCACCTCTTTCACTTTTAAAGCAATGACCAAAATGGTTGCTTAAATGATTACCAAACCTCTCATTTAAATGACCTGACTGTTCAAGAGAGTGGCCATCAACTGCAATTCAAACTGACTTAAGATCTAAAGAATATCTTAACGATCTCAATATTTAAAAATCTGCTCGTATTTACAGCTGAAATGGTTCCTTAAATGACTTCCAAATAAAGTAAAATCCTTCATATAAATCGTTTGTTCTTCACCTCATTCACTTTTACAGGAATGACCAAAATGGTTGCTTAAATGTTTACCAAACCTCTCGTATAAAAGACCTGATTGTTCAAAAGAATGGCCATCAACAGCAATTCAAAATGACTTAAGATCAAGAGAATAAATGGTGATTATCGATCTCAATATTTAAAGCTCTGCTCGTTTTTACAGCTGAAATTGTTCCTTAAATGACTTCCAAATAAAGTAAAATCCTTCATATAAATGGATTATTCTTCACCTCATTCACTTTTATAGCAATGACTACAATGGTTGCTTAAATAACTACCAAATCTATCATTAAAATGACCTGATTCTTCGAGAAAATGCCCATTAACAAATGACTTAAGATCTAGAGAACAATCTTATCGATCTCAATATTTAAAAATCTGCTCGTTTTTACAGCTGCAATGGTTCCTTACATGAGCTCCAAACGAAATATAATCCCACATAAATGCCTTGTTCTTCACTTGCAACGACCAAAAGGGTACTTAAATGATTACTAAATATCTTGTCAAAATGATCTACTTGTATAAAAGAGATTCTTTTGAGACCATCGATACGTTTGGAAAAATTACATCCGATCAACAGAAAATTCGATAAAACTTAATGTTCAACAAACTACTTTTTTTCTGCTGGAACGGTTCCTTAAACGACTTCAAAATGAAATAAAGTCCTTCATATAAATGATTTATGCCTCATCTCATTCACTGCTATTGCAACCATCAAAATGGTTGTTTTAAATGACTACTAAATATCTCGTCAAATGGCCTTCTTTATCAATAGAGATCCTTTCGGGACCAGACCATTGATATGTATATGCAAATGACATCCGACCAAAGGAAAATTCTGATAATTCTGCTTCACAATCTACCCTTTTCTTCTGCTGAAATGATTCCTTAAATGACTATTCATTTAAAAGAGTCATTGATCAAACTGATTGCTTAAATGACTAGCAAATCCTATATCAAAATGACCTAAGCATTCAATGGATTGGAACAGAGATTACAATTACCAAAATACTTCAGATCAAGTGAATAATCTGATCGATATTGACTTTAAATCTACCTGTTATATAGTCCACAGTGTTTTTTAAACTGTCAATTGAAAGAATAATGTTTCATTTAAATTGCTTATTAATTTTATTAATCATCTTATTAATATCATTAATAAGATAATTAATCTTATTAATAATTTTCTTATTAATAATACTAAAAAGTAATTGATTAAAACCTGATTGCACGAAGAGAGCAGAGTCTATTGTTCGGAACAATAAAAGCATTTTCAAAAAAACATTTTTTTAAATAAAAACGAACAAATTTTGCATATAATGAAATTGGCCCTATAAGATTCCGAGCTAAATAAGAGCTTGAAATATTTTTTTTGAATGTTCGGAATCAAATGTATCTGTGTATCTTGGACTGGCAATGGAATTCAACTCGACAACCCCATGCTGTTTGCAGACCATCGTCTTTTTCAAAAACTACCTTCCAACGTCCAAAAGAGAAAATCATAAAAAAGATTTTTTTTAAACAGAAAATCGCTTCTTCTGACAAGTCGTATTTTTCACATTTCGCTACGCTTTTCTCCAAAAACCTTTATCATATTGAAACAATCCTTTTTTCTGTTTGTAGTATAATAACAGTCAAACAATCGTAGCAAGGAATTGTTTAAACATAACTCTCAGTAACTGAGATATGATTTTTTAATAAATAAAAAAGTGTAAAATATTGTCGCAACTTTAATTTGTGAACAAACATAAAATTTTCACAATTTAAAAAACCTAGCCATGAATTTTTAGTACATTAAGGAAAATAAAACTGCAAGGAATATCGGTTATAACAGATCGAAGAGATTTTGAAAAAAAAGTGGTAACTTAAAAGTCCTCTCTTCAAACAACTAAATGATCATGAACTATTTCTGAAATACGTAAAATTTTAAATTTTGACGCTTAACCAGAAGGTTAAAGGCTCTCCTGAAGAAGAAAAAAAAAGCATATAAAAATGAAAAGTCATCATGTAAAAGCGAAATTGAACAAAACAATAGGAGACAAACACCAACTGTTCTTCCGAAAAACTTCAAAAAAATGTCGAAAATGACCAGAGACCAAGAGAATAAGTATATTCGATTTTCAAAAACAATAAAATTCAATATTTAAAAAAATTAGTAACTAAATTATGCATATATTATCAAAATCAAACAATTAAAATAATGTTTTGGCCTTTTCACTCAAATAAGTGTGTGCTTTTTGTGTATTTGTAAGCTATATAAAAAAAGCTTTTTTGCAGACATGATAAATCACCTTTACAACGTTATTCCTTTGTAGAAAAATAAAAAAGACACAAGACACAGTCACGTGTTCACACCGGTAAACGACAAAACCCGACGGACCGTCACTGGCCTCGTGCGCTAGTCCAACGAGGCCTCGGCGAGGACTGGCCGGGAAAAAGAAGCGATGCCCCACTCCCACGGATGAAAGAAGGGAGCCCGAGGGACCCAGAAGGGGTGAAAGAAGTCACCTCAAGAAAGGAAATCGCAAAAAAATAAATAAAAAGTGAAAGATTTAAAAAAATAGAAATCTGGACGGCACCGGTGAACCAGTTTAACGTTAAAAAAGCACCGAGTCGACAGTTACGTCTTGGTTTCAATGCAAGACAAAACCATTCGGAGCAAAGGACTAGGTTGATCAACGGAATAGAAAAGAAAAAGAAAGAACCGCCTAAACCACTATTCAAACCATGTTGTTTTTCAAAGCAGCTCTGAAACTAAAACAGTTCGATTCGAAGGTCAATCAGGTAAACATACATATAAAACACATAAGTCTTTAAATTGGGTGATTGAGGTGGTGTCCGGAGCTGCGTGAGCATATTACATAGTTGATGATGATAAAACTAGGAAGCGAGGTTTGTGCTCCCCAGGCACTTTAGCCTTCTAGCTTATTGTACCTTCCTAGTTTCTTAGTTCAGTGCAGTAGACTCAACCCTTCTCCTTACAAGTATCAGGTCATTGACTGTCGCTGCTACAATTTGATTCCCTAAGTTTTTTTTTCGTATGTTAGGTTAAATCTCCATTGAGCAGTTGCTTCGCATCAAAGGATAATACGGTTGGCTGTTTCTTCCTACTCGTTACATAATCTGCAGATGGGAACATCATTGTATATGCTGAGTTTTCTCAGATGCCAGTGATCGGTTAGTAATCCTATCACTCCTGTGAGTCCTGGTCGTCTCCAACTGCAGCAATGATTTTGCCAGTCTTGGTGAGGATTGTTTCATCATAAGTTTAATGTGTCTAGCGTCACTAGAGTTTATCCATTTCTACTTTTGTTTTGTTTGTATCCATATTTATTATATATTTGTTGTTGTTATCCAAAGTATAGGTTCGGGGCTTATATATGGTCTTGCAGATCCTCCTCTGGCCAGTCTGTCTGCGTTCTCGTTACCCAAAATTCCTCTGTGCCTTGGCACCCAAGATATCATTAGGTTGTTGTGTTTCTCCACGTTTGGAGATTCTGGATGCATTCGCTGACTAATTTTGATGTGATTATTTTACATGCTAACGCTTTAATGGCTACTTGGCTATCAGTTCTTTTGAGGATGTTTCGCCAGTGTAACCTCTTTTAAGATTTTCCGGGTCACAATCATTGATGGCATGTATTTCTGCTTGAAAGACCGAAGTGTACTTCCCTAATGAGTTTGATTGCTCATTTCTTGGGCTTGTACAGATAATGCCCGACTGGGTCCTTCGTTTGTTTTGGAGCCATCTGTATACCATACATATGATGCTCTCCTGAGTGAACTGAAGGCAGTTGCCGCACCGGCGATAAAGTCCACAGTCCTTTGGGACTGTATCAAAGCCTTGCCACAGAATGGGGAAAGTAACAAAATTACCCTTGTAGCGGGGCACATAGTACAGAGGGGCAACGATGAGGCCGATATATTGGCAAAGGAAAGTTCGATGAGAACACATATTGGCCCTGAACCCTTTTGTGGATTATCAAACTGCCAAAAGCGCGTAGCCATTAGTCGATTGAATAAAAATAAGTCCCCCGTTCAATGGGAATGTAGCCCGGGACAGAGTCATGCAGAAAAGTTCTCAAAGGACCATCGCAGAAACTAACGGCATAACTACTAAATCTAGTGCGTGGTAAGATTAGAATAATAGTTAGACAATCCTTTTAAAAGATAGTTCCTACTCACAGTAAGTAATTTTTACTACTACTACTACACCATTCATCAATTCTATTAATATTTGGACTGTTGACTAGACACTGCGGGCTCCGGAGGCTAGTATAGACTCGTAGTGTAAACAAGCCTGTGCAAGTATTGCCAAGAAGAAGAACAAACAGCGGAACATATCCTCTGTAGGTATGAAGGCCTGAGATTCCTAATCCTGGGAGAGGAAAAGCCAGCGCCTGAAGGATACTCGCGGGAGCTCTTGGAAAAGCTTTGGGGTCTGGTAAAAAGCCTTAAGCTTAACGAGGAGCTTTTGATAAAAAAATGGAGATGCACAATATACCATAACTGCTCGCGGTGTGCAGGTCGTAAATCCTACATGATCTAATCTAAGGGAGTGCTGATGAGAAACCCACCATGGTTCTATCAGCTCTTTATTTTCATGTTGAAGTTGAACGACTTGACGGAATCGTTTCCTCAAAAATTCATAATTCTACGTACAACCTAGAAGCTTTTTGAAAGTCTGCAAATTGAACTCGCGGAAGATACGTGAATATAGAAAAAGCAAATGAACTGCAATTCTTAAAAAAACATTGGGAACCATCCGGATCATCATCCATCAGTTCTTAAATAAAAGTTCCGTACTTTTTTCCAGGGGCAGGTTTCACTCCTGTTAATCGAAAAGACGAATGAAAATGCACTAATGTGACAATTCTAATGTGTTGTAAGTGTTTCTTGAACGGGCATAATTACAGACGAACGGTTGTTGATGTTGACAGGGGCTGAAAGAGGAAACAGGTTCGAGCCGAGTTGATGCGCGGGTGAAAATGGACTTCACATCAGATCTGTCCATTTATATCAATTATAATAAAAAATTATGCGACCTATTCCCACCCACAAATTATATATCATATTAGTTAAATAGGACATCATTTTTAGCTTTTGAATAAATGGTCCCTTGTTACAATTTAGTTTACAAATTGATTATGTGATTTATGTTGAAGGAGTGTCTTTCCATTGAAAACAAGTACAAATCATCGAAAAAATTCTGCTTTTAGCTTAATTCTTTCGCCAATCGATTTAGCAGGGTCGTTTCCATAGGAAAACATAAAAAATTATCCTACTTTTTAGGTTAAAACGTTAGGTAAACCCTTTTTATTTGCAAACTGAGTCGCAAAAAAACTCTTTTTAGAGCAAAACCTCGTGGCAAGAGTTCGTATCAGACTGAAACTAGTGTAAAATCATATAGCCAACCAGTCTTGCTTAACACCGTCTTATTAGATGGAAATTGTTTAAAACCGTCTTTTCAGACCAGTTTTTTCTTGTACATATAAAACTTAATTTTTGAAATTTGTTGAAGTCGTGAAGAGCGGTCGAGAATGATGTCGTTTAGAAAAACACCTTTTTCCTTTCTTTTTTTTTGTCGACGTTTCGACCTTTATTCATCTTCAGGGCCTGGGTAAATTACAAAACAGATGTTGATTGGAAAAAATACAATTTAAGATGTACTTTTACTGTGCTTGATTATAAATTTTGAATCATGTAGTTCATGCTCACATAAAGTGTGGCTCTTCATAATGTGAAATTAATACTAATAAAAATGACTTTCACATCACGTGGACAAACTGATTCTAAATTTGTTGACAACCAACAAGAAGGACTGCTGTCAATAATGGTAATGAAGTCTGTCAGTTTTCAAATTTCACTTCTTTGCCTTATGGGCAAAGTGTTATGGATATTAGATCTTCTCGTTGCACTTTGATAACGGGTAATGAGAAGAAAAGTTTGGCGTATAATGCAGATAGCGGCTCTTCAAACTTCACTAAGAAATCTGGGAAGCATGAATGCTCAGCTTCAAAGTTGCAGGTCAAAAATGCTACAAAAAATAAAAATATTGTAAATAATGCTGATTAGTGACCTTTAGTCGATGATTATTCAGAAATCGTAGATGCGGTCTGGTGTGATGTAGGTTTCAGAGTGTAGAAAATTGATTGAATATAAAAAAATATTTTTTGCATTGTATAAATTCACTTTTTTTCACATCCTACATGTATTTATTCAATTTAAACAATGTTTATAAATCCCAGGCCCTGAAGATAATGTCAATAAAGATCGAAACGTTGGCACGATAAAGAAAATGTTTTTCAGAAACCTACATCATACCAGACCGCATCTCACGATTTCTGAATAATCATTGTAAATAATGATTTACTACAGTTATGTTTTATGCAAAGAAATAAGATTGCATGTCCTTAACTGAATCTAACTGCATTCGTATTTCTTATGCTGCGTTTTTCTCTTCATTGTAAGAGCAAAGTAGTCCTAATTTTAGAATTATTTTAGTTTTCAATCTTAGAAGTATCGATCAATTTTTCACTCACGAACACTCTGGATCAAGGTCTTGAAGAAAAAAGCAAATTTATATTTACTGCCAAGCTTTGGACCTATTTAAAGGTCATCATCAGGGCCAATACTAATTTCATATTATGAACAACAATTGTTAACTCAATTGTACATATATGTTTTTGTAATGTGAAATTAATATAGGCCCTGATGATGACCTCAAAATAGGCCGAAAGCTTGGAGTAAAACTGAATCTTATTTTTTTGCATAAAATATAATTGTAATATTTCAGTATTTACAATATTTTGATTTTCTGTAACATTTTTGACCTGCAACTTTGAAGCTGAGCATTCATGCTTCCGAGATTTGTAAGTGAAATCTGAAGAGCCAGAACTATCAGCATTGTAGGTCATACTTTTTTTCTCATTACCCATTATTAAACGGAAAAGAGAAGATCCAATATCCATAACAATTGGCTCTAAAGTAATTACCAAAAATGTGGAATTTGAAAAATGATAGACTTCATTACTATTATTGACGGTAGTTTCCTTCTTGTTGGTTGTCAACAAATTTAAAATCAGTTTTGTTTTTTGAAAAAATGATGAGAAAGTCATTTTTGTTAGTATGAATTACACATTATGAAAAACATATTCGTACAATTGATTTAACAATTGTTTTTCTCAACGTGAAAATGTAACTACGGTATAGCATCACTAAACAAGAAAAACTGACCTAATTCGAAATGTGCCACTTTTCCTGATAAATACTCAAAGTATACTAAAGCTCGACACAGAACAAAGATATGCCACTTTTCGTGAATGGTGACAGTACTTTCCCTCCGATTCAAAAATGGCAAATAGTGCTAGGACAAGGATGTAGGGACTAGGAAAAGCCCATTTAAGCTTAAAAAAATCAAATTGGATGGGAACTAAACAATTCGGACACACAACCATAATTAATAAAAACAGACATCCGTTCATAGAAATGGGGACTGACTTATGATCCCAGAAACCTTCTTTACATCCTATAAAGTGTCAACGGACTTATAAAGGAAAGCATCAGATACAATGATATGGTATACAGATGGCCCCAAAACAAACGAAGGACCCAGTCGGGGATTATCTGTACAAGCCCAAGAAATGAGCAATCAAACTCATTAGGGAAGTACACTTCGGTCTTTCAAGCAGAAATACATGCCATCAATGATTGTGACCCGGAAAATCTTAAAAGAGATTACACTGGCGAAACATCCTCAAAAGAACTGATAGCCAAGTAGCCATTAAAGCGTTAGCATGTAAAATAATCACATCAAAATTAGTCAGCGAATGCATCCAGAATCTCCAAACGTGGAGAAACACAACAACCTAATGATATCTTGGGTGCCAAGGCACAGAGGAATTTTGGGTAACGAGAACGCAGACAGACTGGCCAGAGGAGGATCTGCAAGACCATATATAAGCCCCGAACCTATACTTTGGATAACAACAACAAATATATAATAAATATGAATACAAACAAAACAAAAGGAGAAATGGATAAACTCTAGTGACGCTAGACACATTAAACTTATGATGAAACAATCCTCACCAAGACTGGCAAAATCATTGCTGCAGTTGGAGACGACCCTTGAATGCGAAGCAACTGCTCAATGGAGATTTAACCTAACATACGAACAAAAACTTAGGGAATCAAATTGTAGCAGCGACAGTCAATGACCTGGTACTTCTAAGGAGAATGGTTGAGTCTACTGCACTGAACTAAAGAACTAGGAAGGTACATTAAGGCAGAAGGCTGCAGTGTCTGGGGAGCACAAACCTCGCTTCCTAATTCATCATCAACTATGTAATAAGCTCAGGCAGCTCCGGACACCTCCCCAATCATTCAATTTAAACCCCATCACTTGTGGGATTATATTTGAAGGCAGCTTAAAAAAAATGATGCAGATTATGTAATGAGGAGGAGGAAACGCCCACCCATATGATCTTCGAATGCAAAGCAACAGCTCAATGGAGATTTAACCTAACACACGAAAAAAACCTAGGAAATGAAACTGTAACAGCGACAGTCAATGGCCTGATACTTCCAGGAAGAATTGAGTGCAGTGCCTGGTACAAACCCCGCTTCCTAGTATCCTTATTACTACATACCAAAATGGTGACAGTACTTTCCCGCCAATTCAAACGTGACGAATAGTGCTGTCAAAATCACACGAATACTTAAAATACTAAATAATCGTTTTTTTATCATTTTTTTCGACTTGTTCCACTTTTCTAGTGAATATGCGATATGTGGTAGTCATAATTGACCTATTAATTATTTTAATTAATGATTATTTAGAGATCGTGAGATGCGGTCTGGTGTGACGTAGGTTTTAGAAAAACATTTTCTTTATCGTGCCACGTTTCGGCCTATATTTAGATCATCTTCATCAAAATGTTTTCTGTATAGGTATTTTCTTGTGTGTCGTGTTAAGAGTGCCTTTTAATTAATAATTTAATTTTAATTAATTTTCGTTTTTATGCAAGGTCTTGGTTAGGATGAAAAAACTTGCGTTACGACTACGATTCGATCCCTCGACCTTTGGCACAATACGCCTCTGCCTCGACCATTTTAGTGAATTCGATCCGCTCGGACACCTTCCGAATTTTCCCTCTTTTTGCCACATTTTCAACGGGAAGTTGGTGTCCGATTGGATCGAATTTTCTGGTGTTTTTGTAGTTGATTCGAGATTAATAGAATTGGAATCTCGTTCAGCAGAATTGCAGTTTTGAATGGCCTACGTTCTAGATACAGGGTGTGTTTGGACGTATCGAAGAAGGAATCGATAGGCGTACAGTTAGAAGTCTACAATTCTGCAGTTCTGCAATGATCGTCCGGTCGTCTGAACTCAAAACTCTCCCTTCAATTCTATCTTATCTCAATCGTTTCAAACGGAACATCAAAACGGGTTTCTTAAGTAGTACAGTACTGGAAAAACTATTCGATATTGAACAAGATAACTAGTTTACCTTTTCGATGCTTAAATCGATGTAAAGTTGTATCAAGAACGTCCCTCTGCCTCGGTGTCCGAGGCCGGGGTCTGTACTGTTTGTACGACGAATGGCCGTGGTCAACAAGTCTCCGGACCTCCGTTGGACGAAAAGGTACAGGCTCTTCTGCCTGGGCGGCTTGGCAGTCCTGTCCATCCAGCTCTTCCTCGCCTACCTCTTCTTCGCCGTCGAATCCAACAGCGAGACCCCTACCCAGGAGTACCTGTCTGGAAAGGGCAGGCTCAACCTGGAGGTTAGACATATAACCATTTATCAATACTTTTTTCGCGGTTTCCTTATTTTAATTTTCGTTTTAAACAAGAATAAACCTCTCCGGTGCCGCCTAGTTAATTTCAGGCTGACCATCCAACCAGGATGTCCACCCTGATGTTCTCAATACACCACTAAAATTGACAAAACATGAAAATTATTTTTAAATATTTGTTTATTTCTTTTAAAACTACATACACACAAACAAAAATTACAGTACTTACAAAATATACACTTCCAGGGTTGGAAGCATGAGTCGGATAGGTTGCGATGAAAGGACAGTTCGGAGTCTTCAATGGCACTGGACCAGCTTTGGGGATCAGGTTTTTTTTTTTAGATCAGAGTGTATGGTATGATAAGTGACAACGGTCATCAAAACCATCTGATACGGTCCTTCGATAACACTGGCGATTTAATTACATTAAAAAAAATTTGTGAAATGATATACTTACAAATATCTTAACCGAGCAGGCGCACTGGTGTACTTTGTATGCATGTTAGTTTCTTTTCTTATCAAGAAGTAATCATCACTCGTAGTACCTTCTAATCAGATATCTGAAAGCGTCTCAGTGCAGAGGTTCTTGCATCTGGCTTGTTTGCAGTTCTGGTATGAAGTGTTTGAAGTCTCTTTAGTGCCAGAAATACACCAGAGCGATTGGTCATGTAAGTGAACTTTACTATTCCATTATACGTCTAAATCTTTATAGAACCGAGTAACCAGTAGACATTTCAATTGTCATTACAATCATACCATATTTCGCCAAAAAGTAGGCCCTGAACCCTACTGTGGCTTAGCAGCCTGCCATAAAAGAGGATACATTTTAAAATGTACCCTAATAAGGCAAAAACCTGGTGGAACAATACCACAGGTATGAGGCACACGAAGACATTCATAAAATGACTATCCACAAAACTAACAAAAGAATTACTGGAATGCAACCGCAACCGAACCAGGATTCTGGTTGGACTCCTGTCAGGGCACTGCCACTTAAGAAGGTACATTGTACAGACATAAGAAACATTGTGCAGATACTGCCAGGAAGAGGAGATCGCAGAACACATTCTATGTTTCTGTGAAGGTTTATGTAGGTGCAGGTTCTTGCAACTAGGACAAGAAAAACCACAAGCATGATCCTTCACTAAGGAGCCGATGGCAAAGCTGTGGAGGCTGATTAATAACCTGAAGCCAGTGTTATAAATAACAGGGGAGCACAAAGATCTACTCAGGTCGAAGGTGTAGTAGGTCTTGTGGCCGCCTCTTTTATCCCTATCCCTATCATATTTGTTATTTATTGTTTATAAACTGCTCAAAAATGAATAGGTATAATGCCAATTTTGTATTATTTGGACCTTAAAGTTTGGATCAGTTCGTTGATAAAAGGAATGATGAAGTCTTTGTGGATAATAGTGACATAATAACAAGGTGCTTTGACAATTTGTGTAAGGACTTTCAATTGGAAGCCTGGATGCGCTGGATATTGGATAGCTTGGAAGTACCCCACAGTTCCACTTCGGATGATATATTGGTCTTGGTAAAGTATTGTACAGTGTACAAGAGCAGTTTTGTAACTTCTTATAAGTTTTTGTAGTAGTCCAAGTCTTGTATTAAGTTGTTGTGTTTTAAGTCTTGTGTGGGGATTCTACATCAGTCTGCTGTCAAGATATAGCTGCAGGTGACTTGAGTGAAAACTGGTATCTCTTTCTTGTTGATGTACAATCGAGGGCAAGACTGCTTTTTCAGCGTAAAAGTACACTGAGTGCATTTTTCTTCGTTTAGTCTGGTCTTCCATGTTTTACACCAGTCTTCGATAAGCTCAATGTGTTCCTGGATGTTGGAGGTAGGTTGGATAAGATTCTAATTAGAGGATAGGATTGCGGTGTTGTCCTGGGTGGTGATAATAATGTCAGGGTGTATTGGTAGATCGGCAGTACAAATGATATAAAGGATAGGACCAAGGATCTCCCTTGCGGTACACCAGCCTGTATCTATTTGTTTTAAGAGAAAAAGCGCCTTTTCAAACGTCAAGAGGCGAGAGCAAAATTGACCCTCTGTCATTTAGGACGCCATGCTGTAACATAACATTTGCTGGTAAAATAAAGAGGAAGAAAGCATCTCAGATCACATGTAGTTAACATTCCCCCAATTTGGAGAAAATATTGAAAGCCTAAGTCATAAACATGTACAATTTTGTAGTATTTACTTTCCCCAGTATTTTTATTATAAATTGTATTAAAATTTATTTAGTTTATTAGAATGTATTGTTTTTTGCTGAAGGAAAATTTATTTATTAACCGGTCACTGGCATCTGATAAAACATCTACACAACACGGACACATATAACGATGATCCCATCTGCAGATTATGTAATGAGGAGGAAACAGCCACCCATATCATCGTCAAATGCGATGAAACAGCTCAATGGGGATTTAACCTAGAATGCCTAAAACCTAGGGAATGAAATTGTAGCAGCAACAGGCAATGAATGACCTAATACTTATGAGAAGAAAGATTATGTGAATTGCTCTGAACAAGGGAACTAGGAAGGTACAATAAGCCAGAAGGCTGCAGTGCCTGGGGAGCACAAACCCCACTTTCTAGTTTCATCATCATCAACTATAAATATGCCTAGGCAGCCCCAGACACCACCTCATTTAAACCTTATTGCACATTTGTGGGATCATATATGAAGGCACCTTTAAAAAAATTAAGATTAAAAACAAAAACTAGCTAAAAGAAGAGGTTTTACAGGATTAGACTAATACATCCCAGGACTTCACAAAAAAGTTCTATAAATGAAAAACTGATTAATTTTCTGATCAGATTCGGCATGATGAAAAGAAACTTGTGAATAATTTTACACTTTATCAAAGCCTGGTATTTTTTGGCCTAATATAAGATAAATTTCCAAAATTATTAGTTTACACATCTTTAATTTTTTATTTCAGGTGTTGGATGAGCACAATGGACTTGAAAATTCTAGGAGATTAAGAGACTCATATTTAGTCAGTGATGACGATGACGATGATTCTTTAGGAAACAGTAATGCAATATATAATAAAGTCAAAGTCCCGCCTGATAAAGTGGACTCAAAGTCGAACAAAGTGCCTAAAATTAGCAAATTAGGGGAAGGAAACAAGTAAGCCAGTTGACAAAATCCAATTTCAAAAGAATTACTACTATATTTTATCTAGGACTGTTACACTGCGAATTGAAGAATTGGATTTCACACCTATGTGCGATATTCGCAATAAAGAGGCAATATCAGCGATACACAGGGCGAGCACACAGAACTGCAAACAGCAAATCGCCAACACGACGTGCCTTGTCCTCTCGGGGGACCTTTACCCGCAACTGCTTCCGCACAAATGTCCGGCTGAAGGTCGCAAGGGTAAGCCTTTAGGATGTTACCAAGACGATAAGATATCGCGACTGCTCAAAGAGTACTATATCAACCTCAAGTCGACCAACTCGCCGGAAAATTGCATCAACATCTGCCTACAATCTGGATTTCCTTATGCAGGAGTTCAATATGGGTAAGTTAGATTTCATTTGATTTTTTGTTAAATAGTTTTATTTTTATTTTTTAACAGGAGTGAATGTTTCTGTGGAGTGTCTGAACCGTTGTCTTCTGCAAAACTTCCTGACTCGTCTTGCAACATGAAATGCCCTGCGGATGCTCGCCAGGCTTGCGGAGGTTTCTACACAGTAAACATATATCAAACTGGAGTAGCTAGTGAGTTCCTGATACATTTTTCCAATTATTCTGTTTTTATTTAATTTGTGTCTTTAGAATTGTCCAAAGAGCCAATAATCGAGACCTGGAGCAAGAAACGTAATGAAAACAACGCTGAAAGTAAGGTCCGTATCGTCTTCCTGCTCATGCTGAATGGCAGGGCTGTAAGGCAAGTCAAAAGGCTCATCAAGGCCCTGTTTCACACTTCCCACTTTTTCTACATCCACGTAGACGCTGTAAGGAATCAATTTGCCAGCCGAGGGATTGTTTTTGAAAACGTGGTTGTTGTTTGTTTTTTCAGAGGCAAGATTACATGATGCGAGAACTTTTAGAGCTTGAGATGCGCTTTTCAAACATCCGACTGTGCCGGAGACGCCAGGCGACGATCTGGGGCGGTGCTTCTCTTCTTTCTATACTTCTCCAGGCGATGTCCGAACTAGTCGAAAGCGGCTGGCAGTGGGATTTTGTCATAAATCTATCCGAAAGCGACTTTCCAGTCAAGTAATAATGAGAAAACAAATATTGGTAAATTTGTTTTTATCGCCGTCTGTTCTGCGTAGGACGAATGAGCAGTTGGTGAATTTTTTGACTGCAAACAAGGAAAGGAATTTTGTGAAGTCACATGGCCGTGAAGTACAGCGGTTTATACAGAAGCAAGGCTTAGATAAGACTTTCGTCGAGTGTGACAACCACATGTGGCGCATCGGGGACCGTATCTTGCCGACTGGTGATTTTATGATTTCAAACATGTTACAATTTATTCAGTAGTATATAGGTATATAGTATATACATTTAAATAATTGTTCAAAAAATTGTATAATTTTAAGGAATCGTTGTGGACGGTGGAAGTGATTGGCTAGCTCTTTCAAAGCCATTTGTTGAATACTTGGCTAAAAATCAGAATGATCCACTCATTCAGGGTTTAATCACTATTTTTAAATACACCCTTCTTCCTGCAGAGGTAAGCCAAATTTATTAAACATATAAAAAGAAGAAAAATCTCGATTTAAAAAAAAATTTAGTCTTTTTTCCACACTGTACTGCGTAATTCTATATACTGCAATAGCTACGTTGACAACAATTTGCACATAACCAATTGGCGGAGAAGGCTTGGCTGCAAATGCCAGTACAAACACATTGTCGATTGGTGTGGTTGTTCGCCGAACAATTTCAAAACCGAAGACTGGCAACGGATATTGGTAAGTGAACTTTTGTTTTATTTATATTGCGTTTTAATTTTTCACCGTTTCTATTTGTCAGGCGACTGAAAACAAACCAGTTTTCTTTGCAAGGAAGTTTGAACCTGTGATCAACCAAGAGGTCATAAACCATCTCGACACGTGGCTGTACGGGAACTACCCAAAGAGTAAGCCTAAACATAAATCTATTGGCAATGATCGGTAAAATTGGATTCGATATGTTGTAGACCTTCCAGGCCTTGACAAATACTGGCAAAGTATTTACAATTCAAAAGACATCAGCCCTTCTCCTGATGATACCCTCATTTCCCTCGGGCACAGCTTAACAAGATCTTCGATCCGTGCTGTACAAAAAAATTGTTCACTCTCAATGGTCAAACTCCTCGAAATTATTTCTTACTATGAATCTAATACGTACAAAGTAATTTTTTTTTTTTTTTTTTTTTGTAAATTTAAAAGTGGTCAAATATAAAAAATAATACAAAATTGCAGGGTAGTTTAATCTTCTTTGAAGCAAAATCACGCCTCAATAGTAAATCTTTGAAAATTGAAAGTTGGATCCAGCATGTTGAACACTTTGTTATTCTTAACAACTCCGCACCATCTAGTCGGATAAAAGTAAGTTTTTCACAATCATATCAGCTGTAACAAGCCAATCATGAATTTTTCCTCATTTTCAGAATGTTTTTGTGAGCTCGGATTTTGACCAAAAGGAGCAGACGTCAAGGAACAACCTGAGGACGATTGGCCCGTTCACCGAACCGACGGCCATTGTCGAACTCAACCCCGGTGAGACGCTGTTCAACATAACAATCCTCTGGATAGATCCGATGGCAAATATAGCTGCGATCCAAGATTTTATTATGGAAGACTCTGTCAATGTAAGCAATGTAGAAGTAATGAAATAACCCCCCAAATAAATAAGTGCGTATTGAAATAAATTTTTCGATCATGGATGTCAATGAGTTAGGGAAAATAGGGTTTATACGCATTGCACTCATATATTTTCTCTACTTTGTAGAAGAATGTTAAATCATAGATATACATGACCTAATTGGAAGCGTCTTACTGAATGAATGCTGAAGACCCTGCACTGACCCTACTTAATTGAATCTAACCCTAACTCTACCTAAACCTGCCCCCACACACAAATCTTCTAACAGTAACCCTACCTAACTTAACCTCCATCTAGCCTGTCTCTAACTTTACCTAACCTCAACTCTACCTAACTTGGGCCACACCTAATCCATATAGTCACCTACTTAACTTAACCTCACCTAAAATGTCCCTAACCCTATCCAACTTGTCCCCAACCCTAATCCTAATAGTAACCCTACCTAGCTCGTCTTTAACTAACCATACTTAATTTAATCTAACCTCCTCGCTTGTCCTGTCTCTGACCTTAATCCTAACAGTAGCCATACCTAACTTAACACCTTACCTAACCTTTCCTGAACAGTAACCCAGCCTAGCCCTACCTAACTTAATCTCATCTAATCCTAACCTGTCCCTAACCATACCCTAATACAAACAACAACACTACCTAAACTACCCCTAACCCTAACTCTACCTAATATGAATATGTCTCTAACCTAACCCAAGTGCTTGGTTTGACTGAGTTGTAATTGAGTAAAAGACAAAATAAGACATTAAAACATAAAAATTACTATAAATCAGATAAAATGAAAATTGCCTTGATCAAGGCATAATAATGATAATAATTCCTGACATGCAAAAGGGCGAAATGTGCAACTACCTTGTGGGTGTTACAAATGAGGGGTTAGAATCACTTTCAAGTATTTTTTTCCAAATTATTCTCAAAATAAAATTCAAGGGCTATGGCCAGGTTTCAAATCTTGCATTGCTAGCATGGCAAATATGGGTAGTCAGACACCATTATGACAACCATAATTAAGACATCAAAATTTAATATAATTATGTATTTAATACTCAATTTATTTAGAGTTAGAAATTAAATTTAGCATGTATGATCCAGCTCTAGTAATTGTGTCTGATAAAAATTTATTATTGTTCTTTTGAACTCTTTCCTCAGTTGTTAAATTTTATTTTAGGTAAATTTTGTCAAACCTCTTTTGAAATCTCCCCTTTTACCCGGCGTCTGGACAGTCAAGCTAGTTTGGAAGTCTAACATTTTTGCTCAAACATACTTCCTCGTTGTTCCTTTAGAGATTGTCTCAGGATCGCCTATAAACCTCCAACAGACGCAGTAAGATTTTTTTAAATAATAATTATTATTATTAGTGTCTAAATAAAGAGGCAGTAAAAATGATTTATTTTTGAAGATTTTTACATGGGGGACCAGGGGAAAGGTATGTAAAACAAAACAATGATTGGGCCAAGATCGTCGGAAGCCAGGGCGAGAATAGAAGTGCCCTTGAAAGGAGGGCATTTAGCAACAGCAAACGAGTCGGGAAGGATTTGAACATATGGATTGATTCCCTTACTAACAGGTTTTAAATCTTTAATCTGTGTTGAACCCTGTATTCATTCATTTCTGATCATCCTGCTTATTTTTGCTGGTGTTGACTATAAAGACCAATAATATCTTAAAGGCCAAAATAAGACTATGATTGGAAACAACCAAACTACAAAATGGCATAATTAATTTAAAGGACTTGAACCAGTTATAAAATTACAGGTTTTACCAAATCGTGGAAACGTGTACAACGTCCGTTTCGGAAATGTGTGGCCTTGAGAACTGCAAGAAGACAAACTGGAGCTCCCTCTCACCCGATCCAAAATCCAACATGAACATGATCGAAAAGACAGGAAGGATAATCAGGTCGGTATATAAACCCGACGATCAAAATTATGGTTAAAATAAAAATATTACAGGTGGTGATGAGTTTTTAAAAGCATCCGACCGACCTTGGAGCCCAGAGAAGAAGCAGCGTTGCATAAATGTGATATTAATTTGTAAGGTTGATATCAACATATATTATTGTTATGAGGCAGAAACTGCTCATTAGATATTCCAAAGTGTCTTTGTTATTGATAATTAAATGCCGCTGCTTCAACCTGATTCGAAAACCGTGCCATATCAAGCAGAGCCATATCACTTTTGTTAGATTTAACAATTGGACCAAACAGGTTGGCTTTAGTTATTAAGTAGCGTAAGTAATTATTAATAATTAATAAAACTGCTTCTTTTTAAAATTATTTTTGGTAAAATTGCTTTAACAGTTATTAACTTTTTTCATTTTTTTATTTATTTATTTATTTTTTTTTTTAAATGATTCAGTGGCTAGGGGAAATAACTTTTGACATTCCTAATCGTTTTTAGATAGTTTACCAACACAACACACAGTCACACAGCTAGAAAATGGTTTAAAAAAATCAATAAATAAATAAAATTAAACAAATCCATTTATAAACTTAGTTTAAATTTGTAGCTTAATTAGTTTCTCACAATTGAAATATTCAATTCGTGAGACGAGATATGTAAACGTGTAGTTTGACCACTTCCGACTGTATCATGCATTTTTCTGTGTTGATTTCATCTTTTTTGTTGGTTTCTAATTTAACGAAGTGACAAAACACAACTGCTCACGAACGTAGCAAGAATAATGCAGATCTGAGACGATAATAATTCAGCGTAGTTTTACATATGTTATATAGTTTATACTCAGCACGAATTGTCAGCACAGTGGTAAAAAATGAACACAAGGATAGGATACAGAAGAGAGATCACAGATTTAAATGAAACTTTTTTTTTTCATAATGCTAGGTTGAAAAATATATATGTATTCTTGAGAATGAGACTTGGGAGCAAAAAAAAAGTAATAAAATATATTTTTATTGTTGGGTTTTGTTGTGCGTGTCTTTCAAAGTTTTATATATTGGTCAATTTGTTTTTTATTATTTAAAAAAAAAATTTTTAATCCAGGATCTTAGCAAAATAAGTTAAAATATTTTTTTAGCAAGAAACAAAGTTGATATTCATTTTATTGCACCCTGAAAAACCAATCTTTACAAGATACGGAAGAATTGCCTTCTTGACTGACCAACACTAGAAGCTTTAAGTTTATCCAATAGGATAAATTTGTCAACCTGGTCAAAGGCTTTGGATACGTCAGTATAAATGTAATCTAATTCGATATTCACCGGAGTATTCAGTATAAAATATTTAACAATTAAGTTTGTAGTTGTTGATCAGACTTTTAGGAAGAAAGCATGCTGAAAAAGAGAAATGAGAAAGAAAGCTCATCTGCAACTAAAGAGTTTTACTTACAGGGCGTCAATATCATTTAATACAACCTTGAAATGCATGCACAACAAAGGCAGAAAAAATATTTTAATAAAATTACTTAAATTAGTTTTTAAAAAATCACTCCTAGAACCCATTGGCAAGAATGCTCGAACACGTGTCTTAATATTTTTTGACTAAATTTCATGAAAAAAGTTTTATTAAAATTGGTACTTTCTCATAGCCTTCCCTTGTACTTTCACTGATAGTTTTAAAAAAAACTTATTTCCCATAGTTTCTGTCATAAGTTACCCAGTTTAATATATATAAAAGTTATTAATTGGATTTATATATGTTAAATCTTGAAAATATGATTATATTTATTATTATTTCGATGTAAGAAAAATAGTGCTAGTTTGCACTAAGTCCACAATTATCCAGTTTTATTAATTGTAGCATTAATTGCGGACCACTGCCTCTTTTCTAGTTAATAATGTGTTCACTATTACGATTCCAATTTTAATTATAAGCTCGTTCATTTCTTATAGATGATCTTTAGATTAGGCATTTGAGCTCTGGTACGAGTTTCAAAGGGTTGGAACTTGTCGAATCGGTGGTGAAGTTCAGGCATAAATTTTTCTCATTGTTGAAAGATACCCTTTTATAACAGGGTTCTTATTATTATTAAATTGAATTTTATAGTTACAGTTTATAAATGGATTATTAGCAGTAAGTGTATATATCCATTGGAAATCTTTATATGACATTCCTGCGACCAAACATTTAAAGGATTTTCATCTTATACTCGTATATATTGAATTAAAGGTATAAATATTTCTATCCTTTTTCTTTAATAAATTTCTTTTTATATTACTTTAAAAGCTTTTTTCCTTCCCTTCTGTGCTCAATTGTTTATTAAAAATGTGCCAATTTGACCAGTAAGTGTCGAGTCTTACTTTTGTTCCTTTTTTTTTCAAATTTATTTTAAGTTACATAGAAATATTTACACCCTTGGTGTTTTATTCTTGTCTGTAATTTCATGTTTGAAATTTTTCCAATATGATTTTTTTTCTCTCTTTAGGCTATAAATAAATGTAATTTAATTGTCCTCTCTCGTCGAAATTCCTTTTCAACTCTTTAATCAAAACTGCAATTCAAATGCTATCAAATGAAATTGTCTCTTATTAAAAAAAACTAAATATCAAACCAAAAAATAATTGAATTCGCTAAGATTTTACCTGGTGTATGTCATTCCAGTATTTTTATGGAAATTTTTCTACTGTTGATAATTACAATTCTCATAAGGTTTATTAAATATTTATCAAAAGTAATTTATACATTTAAACAAATGTTTCAAAGCAATACCATGTACAATAATATTTATATAAATGTATTTTGATTATTTAAAAAATATAAATAAATAAATGAGTGTATAATTTTAAAGGCTCCCTTTTACTTTTATTACTGAACCTTGTTTGAGTTTTCATCCTTGAATGATTAACAATAAGAAAATAAAGTTTTACATCATCTATTTTCCTGGCCAATCGTGACATGAATTGTCTGCTTATATAACTATATAACTATTTGTTTTAAATTTCAGTTCTTAAGTGATCAAGCAGTATCTTACAAACTAATGGCAAACCAAAAAATAAAAATTGTAACTGCCAAATACATAAAATAGTCAGAAGTAAGTCATCTTTTTTTTTTAACTTCCTACTTCTTATTTTCAGGGGACCGTGGTGGTCGAATGGTTAGGATTGCCAAATTATTTCTTGATCATGGCATGTACTATTGCCAACACCCATAATGGCATGTACTTGATACATAAGGAAAAAGTAAACTTCCATTTGTCTCACCTGAAAAATTTTCTTTTTTTGAGTAGTGTCACTTGTCTTGCGGATGTGCGACATGTTCGGTCATGTGCATGTAGTAGACTAAAAGGTAAAAATCTTTCATTTTCTGCCACCCTTTGTATTCTTCCATTCTCTCTCTCCTGTAAATTTTTTTTGTTGAGTAGTGTGACTTTTCATGTTGGTGTGAGATATAACAAAGGATGTATTTAATAGGTTATCCGACTGAAAGTTTTTAAGTGGTTTTGTGTAAAAAGTATGCTTCTGAATGATTGAAGCTTGGTTTGTAAATAAAGTAAATTATTTTTGTTTGATAATTTTTCTATGAATAATTATAAACAAGTTGATTTATCTTTTTAAAACTGATTACACTTTTTGGATTCACACGCTCACACATGTGCTTTGTCTCTGTATGTGATAATTGCACATAGAAAGAATCCTTCTACAAATAAAGGAGCAAAAAAAAGTTTCAAAAAGCCATTATATATATGTATATGTTGTATATAAGTGTGTTATATTTTATACAATATTCACACACTCATGCATGTGTTTTGACCCTGTATGTGATGGTTGCACATAGAAAGAATCCTACAAATAATCGAGGAAAAAGAAAAGTTTCAAAAAGCCATTACATATATGCATATGCTTTATATAAGTGTGTGATATTTTATACAATACTCACTCAGTCACGCATGTGCATTAACTGTATGTGATAGTCGCAGACAGAAAGAATCCTTCTACAAATAGCCGAGGAAAAAGAAAAGTTTCAAAAAGCCAACTTAATTACATATATGCATATGTTGCACATAAATGTGTTATACCTCATACACTCACATATGCGCTTTGACTCCGTATGTGACAGTTGCGGACAAAGAATTCAAAACGTGAAGAAAAAAAGCAGAAAGACTCCTTCTACAAATAACCGAGGAAAAAGAAAAGTTTCAAAAAGAGACCTTAATTACACATAGATATATGCATATGTAATTAAGTTGTATATAAGTGTGTTATACTTCATACACCCTCACACATATGCTTTGGCTTTGTAAATGACAGTTGGACACAGAAAGAATCCTATGAATAACCGAGCAAAAAGAAAAGTTCAAAAATACAAAAAATCAATTTAATTACATAACTATATGCATATAAGTGTATTATACTCCATACATGTGCTTTGTCTCTATATGAGACATTTGCTCACAGAAAGAATCCTACGAATAACCGAGGAAAAAGATAAGTTTCAAAAAGCCATTACATATATATGTTGTACATAGTGTTATATTTTATCTCACACACTCACGGATATGCTTTGACTCTGTAACTGATGGTCACACACAGAAAGAATCCCTATGCAAATAAACAGGCAAAAAGAAAAGTTGAAAAAAATGAAGTCAATTTAATTACATAAATATATGCAAATAAGTGTGTTATACTTCATACACACTCACACATGTGCTTTGTCTCTGTATGTGACATTTGCACATAAAAAGAATCCTCATTCATAAAAGCGACCAGCTCGAAGCTTTTAACTAGAAACTAAGCCTTTTCATCATTTTTACATGCAAAGAGTTAGAGTTTACTTAATGAAGTGGAAATTTGTAAAATTATTCTTGATTGCTAGACAACCTTTTTTGATTTAAAAAAAAAATGGATTTGAAAAATTGTTTGAAATTTTGTTTATCTCAATTTTCTTGGAACAACACCATCTGCCCATATGTACATCGTCTATCCAAGTGTAAATTTTTTTTGTTGGGTTATTTCACTTTCCTTGTTGGTGTGTCATATACAAAGGATGTACTTATTTAATAGGTTATCCGAACGAAAGTTTTTAAGTGGTTTTGTGCAAAAAGTATGCTTCTGAATGATTGAAGTTTGGTTTTTAAATAAAGTAAATTATTTTTGTTTGATAATTTGTCGATGAATAATTATAAACGAGTTGATTTATCTTTTTAAAACTCATTACACTTTTTGGATTCGATCTGAGATTCAAATGAAGCGGCGTCAGAACAGCATGTGGCGCCACCTTTGACATCTACGTGCTCTCTTTTTCGATTAATTCTCAAAAAAAAATCCAATAAAACCTGTTCAAATGAAAATACAAACCCTTTCATAGTTAAAAAGGTTCCTTTTTTGACAAAAATCAGTCTTTAAATCTCCAGTTCAAAAGCAATCGACAAAAGCAACCTGTTTGATTTGACAGTTGGCAGTTGCCCTCAGCTGGGTTTGTATACTTGACCTGAAAAAAGTAAAAGCCTTTTAGTTCACCACTGCGATCCGTGAAGTGAGGACGGACCTCCTCGGGCTTTTTTTTCTCGCTTTTATCACTTGGAAAAAGACTTTTCTCGAGCCAACCATCACGACCAAGGGCCCGGTTTGAGAAGGACTAGGCCGAGATCAGACGTCCCAAGCCAGCGAGTGCCTAAGGTAGGGGATTTTCTCAATTACCTACTTTTTAACTTACAGCCTATGCTTTTTTCTTTTTCTTTTTAAATTTAACGGAAAGATCTTATAATTGGACTTGCTCACATATGATATATTCAGTACAATATATTGCACAAATAATCTTTACAGTTCAGCTATTAATAACACATTCGAATCAGTCCGAATTCAAAAATTATATTCTTCTTCTATTTTCACAATTTAAACTACATTTATAACATTTAATCGAGTTTCATAGAGAGGAGAGAAAAAAAACTATAACTT